GAAATTATGTCTTCTCCAGTGCGTCTCTAATGACTGGTACTGTGTTGTTTATTTCTTTCATCACTTCCTACCTGGTCTGGTTGCTGGTGAAAAACCAACCAGGAAGCCACAGGCACACACTTCAGTCTCTTGCTTTTTCAGGCCACAATTCTCCAATGTTAGGTAGCTGCCAATGTCCTTGCAAGCCAACGGAAAACAGGCCACAAGGTTCAAGTTAACTGCAGAGTGTTACTACACTGAACATCTGGTCATGAATGAATGGATTGCCCACTAACTCTCTGCATTGGGAAGCTGATGAAAAATTCAACATTTTCCTTGTTGGCACAGTTGTTTTGGAGAATTCTCTAGAGCTTCCTGAATTATATGAAGAAAATTTCACTGCAGCAATCTATATCTGTGAGAACAGCTGGTGTTGAAAGGGATCTGCTGCTCTCTGCGTGCTGGGGGACCTCGTGTTGGATCATGATACTTTTGCTACATTTGTCCTTGAAAACTTAGCCCTACCTTTGTGGCAGCAGTTAAACAAAGTGACAGCGATGCTTCTTTACAGTTGCCTTTAGCACCACAAGGCAGGAGAATAAACATCAGAATAGAAAAATGTTGTACAGACGATTGTCAATCAGCATGACAAAAGTTCCTTTAGTAGTAGTGCAAATAATAATAATAATAATAATAATAATAATAATAATAATAATAATGTCTCTTAGATTCCAGGTATATATATAAAAAAAGCTCAGTGACAAGTAGTATAGTCACAAGATTGAAACATGATTTTTCTTGCCCCTCTTTCTTTCTACAATTCCAGTGCCAAATCCCAGTAATCTTCACCCTGGTAAATGAAAATCAACTTTCCTTTTAATATTGTAGAACCAGGATTAGAATATTGGGATGTTTTGCTGAGCATCAGACCACCTTGAGCACAATCAATATCTGTATTACATGATATGCTTTATTAAGCTAAATCACTCAAAATCTTGGAAAGCAGCGCTACTGTTAATTTCAGCAGGGAAAAATAACAGCCCACAAAAACGTAAAATATTTTAAAGAAATTACCTTCTTGATAGGGTAATAATAATAAGCCATATACTGTTCTCTTTCTCTCCCTCTCTCTCTCTTTTTAAAGGAAGTGGTAAACTTAAGTCATGCTAAATTTAGTCTATTATCTATGCAGCATAAATTTCACTTCTGTGTATAAATGATAACTTGCATATTTCTCCATGGTAACTAAACTATGATTAAAACAACAGTGAAACCAGCCTTCAAAACCACCTGTTTAACTAGGAACAATCTAATTTACAAAAATACTTAAACTTCAGACATGTCATAAGAATCTAAATCACATTTTTCCCCAGTTGAAAGCTCTCTTTTCCATGATCATATAATTGTAAAATACTTGGCTTTGGTTGGTAATCATTCTTCTTTTAAAATAGTGTAATTTCTCCACACATTGTTCAGCCTAACACAAGTGGTATTTAAGATTATAAAGAATAAGACTCTAATAACCCTTTCCAAAAAGGAAGTTATTTTGTGCCTTTGAAAGGATTAATTTACCTAGAATGTATTTTTTTTTTTTTTTACAAAATGGCACAAATGAAAGAAATGGGGGAAAACATGCCGAAACTAAAATTCTCATTAGATATGGTAAGACACCTTTAAAAACCATATTTCTCTCGAGATATCCTTGCAATTTACTAATGAAGAAATTGACTGTTTTTATGGGTCAAATTAAAGAAATAATTAGAATATAGCCAAGGATATCAAAAAGGTAGGTCTAAGCAGTATTTTCTTATTTAATTATAAAGCATAAAAGCAGATTTAAATATGAATTATTCTAGCCACAGAATTACACATACCATTTAAATGCTGAAACCCCTTTTAGTAAAAATAAAATCATATGTCACGTATGGTATGAAGCATATGAATCACATTCACAACACATACCTCAAGAGGTTTCACAGAAAATGCGAATGAAATTTAAAAACTGATCACCATCCTTTGGTCATTTTCACATCAAATCATATCTATAGCCAACTGTCCAGTATTTAAGTGACACTGACTCCAGCAGTAGTATGGCAATGGTTGTTAAATATAATTCAACATGATTGAAAAATATTTGCTTGTTTTTAGAAGTGTGGTAGTTTGGGCTTTCCTACAGTACTGTAGCCATTTTCCAGAGAAGTTGTGACTCCTTTCCTGAATGCTTTCGCTATTTGCCTTGAGTTGGGCACGCAGAAGGGTGCCAACCTTCCCACTCCCTGTCACTGCAGTGAAGGAAACCATGTGCACCACTGCTTGTTTTGTTTGTTCCATGGATCTTTATGACAACCCTACATTTTTTTTCCAATCTGTAGGCTTACTTACTATAATCCCCTTTCTTTTGAACTGATTGCCCCTGGGCCAAGTACAAAGTAAGCAGTGCCAGCTGAAATAATTTTGCTTTGACTTAGGCTGAAACCCTAAACATACTCACTATGAAGCAAGTCCCACTGGCAGTCATATTTGGGAAGACACCAGCATAGTTTTGTAGATCGGTGGACGGCTGAAGAATCCTTACTACAAGGCAGTGGGATTACTCAGTGGTGCAAAAGTAAGTACCGTATTTTTCTGTGTATAAGACGGTATTTCCCCCAAAATTTTTAAAGTTTAAAATTGGGGGTCATCTTATACACGGAATGTTGCAATTAAACATATAAATAAATACATGCCACCATCCATATTCTTTCCCCCCGAGCCTCCCATCACTACAGTAGTACCTTGGTTTAAGAACAGCTTAGTTTATGAACAACTTGGATTAAGAACGCTGCAAACCCGGAAGTCAGTGTTTTGGTTTATAAACTTTGCTTTGGAAGCAGAACATGTTTTGCTTCCTGTTGAGTGTGTTGCATTTGTAAACTGAGTCCCCCATTGCTATGGGAAAGCACGACTTACTTTAAGAACACTTTGGTTTAAGAACAGACTTCCGGAACGGATTAAGTTCAGAAACCAAGGTACCACTGTATTGGCCTCACGACAAACCCTGGTCTGGTACTTCGCCCCAGCAGCCCCCACTCCAGACATTGTCCCTTCCACCTGGTTCCCTCAGCCACCCCTGGCTACCCAGACCCCCCCCCCCATTCCCCAAGCACACTCACTCAGGTAGCTCTGGCAGTCGCAGCTCCTCCATCAGCATTTGCATCTGCCGGCGCTTGTGGAGTAAATACGGTACATACCGTAAATACTGAGACAAAAGTGCAATACACAAGCGGGAGAGATGGAACTGCAGCTACAGTGAAGCTACACTGAGCTGACAGGAGCAGCTGCGATTACACAGCTTGCCTCGCTGTTTGATGTTTAAATATACGGTACTAAATATACTGGTGTTTTGAATATTTAATAAAATATCAAAGTTGTCCTGTTTGGTGTTTAAAATATTTATTACTTAATTTTGGGTTCAGAAAATAGGGGTCATCTGATACACGGGGGCATCTTATACATGGAAAAATACGGTATTTGTTTACACATTTTACAGCCATCGCTTCTGTGCATTTTTCATGGAAATTTGCATGCTCCCTTTCACAGTTGTAACTTGTATACCTTAGTGTGAAAACAGCAGGTTTTCCTCCCATGATATGAAACAAGTTTCATACCATGCATTCTACAATACATATATGCAAGTTGAACAATGGATCAACCTAAGTATAGATCCTTCACTTTCCATTTTTAAAACAGTTGTAAAAAAACCAAAAACAGAAAACCAGAAAACCATGGGGATTGGGGGAGTAGGTACGTTAGTGATTACCATGGGCTCTAACCAACAGGGGCAACCAACAACCAACTTTCATTGTCTTCCAAGAACACACACCCAGGCTGCAACCAAGGCATGAAACCATGTGTGGGTTTAGGAAAGCAAAGGAACTTTCAAACCACCTCTACCACGCTTTTTTCCATTGGTATTGTCCCCTAGAATATGTCTCCTATGATAAACAAATAAAACGGGGAGACTATATTGGCCTACTACAACTTTCAGCAGCATGGTTCTAAGGAAAGAATAGCATTTTTACCATAGGTTCACTTTTACGATAGGATGCCAAACATCTGATTGTCAGAAATAACTCCTAAATAGAATGTAACAGAAAGCAATTAAACCTAGCAAACTAATATGTAAACAAAACTGTATCAAAATTGTCTGTTAGCTAAAACCCATTCCCCCCCCCCCTCCATGTTCAAACCAAATTCAAATGACGACATTTAGGAAGTTTTGTCATTTCCAGAATCAGGGCATCAGAATATATTCCGAGCAAGACCCATTGAAGTGAATGAACAACAGTAGCTAGTGCAAAAGCACAATAGCTTGCACAGCTCCTTCATTCAAACGGAGGATGTGCAGGATAACTTCTTCATAGGCTGTGCCCTTAACCATTATGGTTCAATTCCCTGATCCCCCTTGCGACTGGCATAAGCACATTCAGAAATCAATCACTTGGGAAGCAGATGTAACCCTGTTACACTAATTAAACTTTGTTTTGCATCAGAGTCCTGCATTTACGGTGTGTGTACAGTATGTAAATTATACAAATTACAAGAAAAGTTGATTAGCGTAATTCAAATCTCAGTGCAGTTACTAAATTTAACAATGAATACAAATTATACTCAATCAGTTCATTGCTACAGGGTAGCTGTACAACGTGCATCACAAGATTCAAAGAAGCATGAGCTAGAAACCAAAGAAGATGCGTGATAAATGAGTTAGTGATGATCTGCTCCCAAAGGATTTGAAGGTAGATTCAGTAAGGTGTTGTTTTTTATCCTGATTTTTGGAACTGTTTACATCTGCCAAATGCAATATAAATAAAAATCTTAAGTTTTCACTGAACCATTCTTTAACCATAAAGTTACATAGGCATTTGGACCGAGGGTTATATAATACTAGCCCCACTCAGAGCAGGTCATTAATAGAATTGTAGAATTGGAAGGGACCACGAGGGTCATCAAGTCTAATCTCCTGCAATGCAGGAATTTACTACCCAACATGGGGCTCATACCCACAACCCTGAGATTAAGATTCTCATGCTCTACCAACTGAGCTACCCTGAGGTCAACTGAAATTAACGAGCATGACTAATTTAGGTCCATTAATTTCAATGGGTACACTCTAAGTTGAAATAACATTGTCTACAACCATCCATATACTTTGTAAGGTACCAGCTCTTTCTGTTGAACGTGGTTGCTTGTCTATGGACATGATGAGCACTTAATACTTGGGGTCAAACTACATGTGGCATTAACTATGTTTGCCCAAGAATGCAAGATTCTGAGTGCAAGATTTTATCAGAAATAGCCAATATGAGGCCCCAGATCTAGATCTGAACCCTAGATTCAGTGTAGGGAAGGGGGCTTTAACGCTTTGCCCACATTCTCCTGGCTGTGGTCTCAAAATTACCTGGGCAGTAGGGGTGGGGAGAAGGATGTGTTTGTAATTTGCATGGGAACAAAACTCCCAGCCCAATGAGAGCTTCCCTCCCTCCCATGCAAATTTCAGGTGCAAGCGGCCTGGTCCAGATTAGGACTATAGCGATAGGGGGTGGCCAAAGCTCACCTGAGAACTATGTTAGTATCAACAGTAAGAACATAGGTTAGCCCCATGAAGTGCCAGACATATATAAGAAAAATATTTTCCACTTTGGATCTACCTCAAACTATGCATTCCATAGCACTGAGCCAATGACACAAACAGTTCACCATCTCAAGGCACAACCAATCACACTCCTGCAGAAAATCTCAGTGACTGAACTGAGACATAAGGGTTTGTTTGTTTGTTTGTTTGTTTGCTTGTTTGTTTGTTTGTTGTATTCCATTTTTATCCCACTTTTTTCCTCCAAGATGCTCAGGTACATGGTTCTCCCCTTCCTCATTTATTCCCCCAAACAATTCTGTGAGGTAGGTTAAACTTAGAGGCAGTGACTGGCCCAAGGTCACCTAGTGAGCTTCATGGCTGAGTGGGTATTTGAACCCTGTTCTCCCAGGTCCTAGTAAGGACCTTGAACTTAGCGCAGTAGTAGATGGGCAGCCCAGTGTTACATGTCTGCCATGTGTCCCCATGTGCTACCACATTCTGCACCAGCTGGAGCTTCCGAACCAGGCCGAAGGACAGAGCCACACAGAGCACATTGCAGTAATCCAGCTTCAAGGTCACAAATACATGGGCTAGAGTGGTCAAGCTATCTCTGACCAGGAACGGCCATAGGTGGCAAACTAGACAAAGCTGGTAAGATACTCCTAGCCTCAGAGGATATGAAGCTGATTGGCAGTTTTGTACAATCCCATAAGTGTTGCATGAGGAGAAAGAACTTAACAGGAAGCAAGAAAAGAGTTACATGGGTCAAATACTCTAGAAGGCGGGGAACCCACTATTTCCAAAAATTACTGAACATACTGTAAGATTGCAAAAAGTGGTATTTTATTTATGTTTCGCTTTCCAATCCCTTTCTGATTTTCCCCCTTATCAGCAGTAACAGAACACCATGAACACTGAATGAGAACCTTCCACTTGTTTATTTTGTCACATCTTTATTCCACGTTTCAACCAAGACACTCATGGTAGCTTGCACCGAGTTATCTTCATTTTATCCTCTCAGCAACACAGAGGAGTAAATTAGGCGGAAGAAACCGTTATTTGCCCAGGGCCACCCAGTGAGCTCTGATTTGAACCTGGGTTTTCTACATCAAAATCCCGCACTCTCATCACTGCACCTCACCAGCTTCCTCACATTAGAAAATTTTTCAAGACATGATAGAAAAGACATTCACAGTCCAACAGACCTCAACAATGTGTTATTATTTTCCTCTTTAACACTTTCTCACACTATTTAAATTTGAACATGAATTTGTATACAACAATAAAACAACCAACTAGTTTGTCATGCTCCTGTGAGCAACCGTGTCACTCACACCAAGAACCACTGCTTATAATGTTCAGATATTTCATTCCTATTTCACATCACTCAATTAAGTCTTTCTGTATAAAAAAGCTTTTAACAACCACATCTGGTCTTTAATAAATCACTGCACTTTGTCTTCCTGCCAAAACTCCTCCTTTATCTAACTTACATCTTCATGAGGAGATAGGAAATCACACATTATGGTGGTGACAAACAATTGTAATTATGTCATTAGTAGCCATTTAGACTACAAAGGTTCTCAAAAAGGAAATATAATGAACAATAAGAAATATAGGATAATACATTGATCACAGTTCTAATCCGCTTTTTACTTCACAAGTGTAAAAAGCTGGCATAATTCATGGGCACAGCAGGCAGTAATAGTACACCACTTTATGAACTATGCAGCTATTTTATTCCCCTATCTACTTAAAAATAAAAAAAGCTTTTAATAGCTTGATTTAGACATAAAAGTTATTTATGATGCTTCGTTGATTATAATATTTACTTCTTGAACTTTCTATAGAAGCATTTCTTTCTGAGATACGAATACAAACTATATTATCAAATACCTCTTAGTAAAGAACAGCTTTGCTGCTAAAAGTAAGTGTAGGAGAAATGTCAGGATAGCCAAAGAATTTTTTAAAAATGCCCTCTATCATGTAGTAAGAATATAAGCAGGCCATAGGCAACTGGTGGTCCATGGTTCTGAAAGTTTAAATCTTTCTTTTACTAGGTATCTGCCAAATCCAACAGGGCCAAAGGACCAGTTTACACAAAATATTCCATTCCCCTGCAGCTTGTATCCTTAATCACAAGGGGAAACTGTCTGTCAATCAGGATGTATAAAGAGGCAGATCAGAGCCATTTCCAAAATCACCACTACACCTTTTTTGAGCTCCCACAGTAACAGAATTCACAGCTATTTCAAACCCCTTCCCTCTTAGCAATCCTAGATTCTCACAATTACATCTCCAAGCTCTGTCTTGGTCAAAGAGCTCCTGCAGCTGATCAAGTATATGGGAGTTGATCACATGAATTGACCCTTAGTAGATCAAACCTCTCCATTCTTAAGGAAATCAGCCCCGAGTGCTCACTGGAAGGACAAATCCTGAAGCTGAGGCTCCAATACTTTGGCCGCCTCTTGAGAAGAGAAGACTCCCTGGAAAAGACCCTGATGTTGGGAAGGATGGAGGGCACAAGGAGAAGGGGACGACAGAGGACGAGATGGTTGGACAGTGTTCTCGAAGCTACCAATGTGAGTTTGACTAATGCATACCATGGCTAACATCAGAATGGATTGTGGGGGCTTGTGGAGGTCAGGATCTGGTCTGCTGGCCAGATTTAATTTCCCACCCCTGACGTAAGTTCACTTCAATGTGAAATTAAATTAAAAGTAAATAAAAGTAAAATAATTCTGGTTTTAGGAGGCTGAGAATCTGCTAGCCATGGTAGCTAACAGATAACATGGTAAACTCAAATTACAGGTTTCCAGGGCCAATATACATTAAATGAACAAAAAGTCATCATCAGTATGACTTGCTTGTGAGTTTCTCAGAGGCATGTAGATGGCTGCTGTCAGTGATGGAATGTATGGATTACTGGATAGAGTTGCATTTGGGTGCCAGATTAAAAACAGTGCTGAATAAATGTTCATCTGATGCTGCATCTTTACCTGCCCAACACCTGATATCATATAGTAATCGGGTGGGGGGCAGGTGTGCATGGCTTGGGGAAATGGCCTTGTTGACCAGTTAGGATGCCTGCCAGCCCATTTGGACCTCCAGGCCACAGGTTCCCCGCTGGTGCCTAAAGGATTGGAATTTAACTTTTATTCCTCATTTCTGAAACATGTCTCAAGGAATCCACACTTAAAGTTATATTTTTCACTATTGGCTACAAACTGCCACAGAAAAACCTTTCCTGTGTATAGTTAAATCTGTTCAGCATCATTTTCAAAGCCACTTTTTTACTGTTCAGGAAAATTTCAGTATCTAGAACACAGTCAGAGGACATTAAGCTACTGAATGACAGGCTAACGGTGATGTTTCTATCAAGTCTATTATCCCTCTCCTAAAGGGCACAATCTACAACCTGCTTGCTGGACTAAAAGTCTAATGATTACTAATATGCTGTCACACAGATTTCCAGTTCAGAAGATCAGCTTTCCATTGTGATTTTCTCCCCCAAACTCACAGCTTCCTATGCCTCCAATAAATCCACTATTCACTATTTAAGCTGTGAAATATACTCAACTGGATTATTTTTTTGAACTAAAAAAAACCCCTATAATGAACATTTACTTGGTTCTACAACCTTCCAGAATTAGAAGTCAGAAAGAATGTTTTATCCTCCTCACCTATAAAAGAAAGCAATGTCTTCCATCAGTTATTTAGTGCATTATGATGGAAAGACTTGGGCTAGTACAGAACTAAAGTCAAAGAAGGTTTAATTTTCTATGAGGCATCATGATGATCCCAAACCAGAATGTCTTGGAACAAGTGAAGCCAGACAGGTCCAGCTAATAAAAGGTACAATTTCTCTTTGTCTTCCTTCAGCAGCCATGGATTCAACTTTCTGCTGGCTTGCTAAAATACTTCAAAGTATATTTTCTCCTTTGAGGAACAATAATTATTGATGTCAATATGAACAGAGTGAGACTGACCCTCCATACTTGGAACTTTGAGAACTAGTTTGCACATTGCTGTATTTGTTTGCACTGTTGTTTGCACATTTCCAATGGTTCTCCTAGCAAAATTGTTAATGGTAGCTTTTAATAGGCTCAAGAGTTGGAGACGTGGAGTTGCTGCAATCTATAATGATTTCATCTCCCACTCTAGGCCTCCTATCTAGCTTGGCTTCAATTCTGAGTAGTTGTACGTATTGCTAGGCAACAGGAACAGAGTAAACTCTTCCAAGATGATTAGCCCGGCCACCATTTTAATTATTGGCTCCATTTTGCCTGAAAGTGGTATACTAAAACAGAGGTCTAGTTAAAGGGGCAAGAAAGCAGAAAGTACAATAGCTATCCTCCATTAATACAGACCATGGAAATATCTCCACCCTTTATTCAACAACCCTGGTACCTCCAAAACGTTCACATACATACCAAATAGATTCCCAAAGAGGGAATGCGCCCTGCCAGAAGTACTGCACAA